TTTAAACTTCAACTAAACTTCAACTAAACATTTTGTTTCTTTTGTGTCTTCACTCCCACATCAAGGAAAAGTTTTTAGGTTTTAAGTAAAATTCCCTGCCTGGTTTGGCAAATGCTCCCAATTGCTACTGGCGAGTACGAGGTCTCGAATTCGATTCTCTGGTTGGTCAAAGTATTTTATCCTTTCGGGGATACAAGGCGTGATGGTATAAAAAAAGATAAAATTACTCACCCACCTAGCCAGCCAAGCCTGACAAACCTCTTGTCTGTCGGTGAGGTAAACGACAGACAAGAGGTGAGGGGAAAAAATGTCCTCCTTTGAATACTTTAGAGGCTTTTTAGATAATTCTAATTATGTTCTGACACAAAAATCAAACCATAGATACTCAAAGAAGATATTACTTCAATACCGTATGTACATAAAGTTCCAACAATAACACGTCTTATTTTGCCCGAACTCCTGAAGTACCAGGACTTCATTACATAGTAATTGGTGGTCGCACCGCCAGAAAAACTATATTTGTTGATTGATGAATAGAGTGGGAATAACCTTGCGCATTTATAAATCCTCCGGAACATGAATGTTATCAAAGAATGAGTGGTAATTAAAGAAAGTATTTGGGCTGGAATAGAAACTTATTAATATAATTTAGTAATTATATATGTAAACATTATCTGTTTATTCAACTCCAAAATATCTTAATAACAAGAGGTCCTAGCCAAAAACTAAATGAATTTTCGAATCCCCCCTGGACACGCACACCCCCAGTCAAAGTCAAAATACAAAGAAAGAAAAAGCATTTATTCGACAGTAGGCACGCACACAGATACAAAAATAATACAAAATAAAAAGAAAAGAAGAAATAAATACAGATACTTATATAGATAATACCGAAAAATAATGAAAGCCAAAAAAACAAAGAAACGACAGCAGTGACAATACAATAATAACACAGTATGTAATTTAAATTTAATAAAACAAGATAACATTTAATAGCGCGTGCCCTTGCCAAAAGGGCCTCCATCTCAGCATTAAATTGAGCGTACATTGACAACGCTGATTTTCAGATGGCACCCTGTAGCGACTAGCAGGAAAAAAAATTATTTCAATTTGACGAGAAAGGCACTTATGAACGACTACAATAAATTTAAAAGTGAAGCTATTTGCTCATTCTAAGCTGTAGATTCCTATGGAGAAGAACGAGCAAGAAACTCCTTAGGTTACTCTATTTCAATCAGGTTCACAATACAATATTCTCTAGTTACATAGTGAGTTGTATGAAACAATGTAACACCATAATCCAGTCAAAGAGATCGAAAAAGAAAATAAACCTAAGGACAATAAAATCACACAGTCTGGTGCTAACCACTCCCAGTAGACGGCGCCCGTTCACGAATATGACACGTACACCAGCACCACCCAACTCGACTATATTGTAGGGAAACGAGCTATCCACTGCACGTGCCACCGCCAATGAGACCTTTAAGAGAGCATGACAACTCCAGGCCCAAACAGATACATTCTACTAGTCTAATTTAACTATAGTTGATTACAGGGCTCTAACATTCACTATAATTGTGCAAAGTTTAACAATACACATTTAAACAACATGGCTGTATTATCAAATGTTTGAAAATTATTGAAACATCATGTTTTTCGTTATCCTGTGGAGCTGGACCAGCCTGCGTCCAAGCATTTTTGTCTTCTATATAATCATTTAATTTGTAATAGATATACTTATCCACATAAGGTTTTTAACACAGAAGCCCATGAATGACTTAACTACTTACTTTTGCCAATCTAGATAATGACCGACATAATCTATCATTGTGTCTTATTTGGTCACTTCCCTAAACGACTGTAGGTTTTTCCTAACATTACATAATGTTCTCATAAATAAACTGACATGGAACGGTCATAATATTGATCTCCCTAAACTTTTCTCTGAGGAATTCACGACGACCTATATTGTAGATAGCCCTGACGGCGTGCTTTTGTAAAATAAAGATGGACTCAATGTCTGCAGTGTCCCCACAGCAAAATGATGCTATGACAGTAACTGAAGTACAATAGTCTTGCCGTGTCTATGTTGATCAACTGACGGATCTTCCAGCCACCATAAGAAAGCCAGCAGTGCTTAATCGTCTTGCTAGATATGGGGATCCCATTGCAATTTTTCGTCTACAGTTATTCTCAGTAGTTTCTTTTACGAATTCTAATTTCTCACTATTTAATAGTAGGTCACATTCGTTACTCGTTGCGTTTGGCAAAACAAATCTAATACATTGAGAAAGCTATGGAAATTTTATGAAATGTCAAACACACTTTCAGAAAATCTATGAAATATTCTGAGATCACAGGTCCTGTCTAAAACCAATTCTTGGTGAGTCATACGAATCAAAATTCAATTGTTAAGATACGAATGGTTCCTGATATCAAGCTTGAGACTCGAATTGACCGAGTGACCATAAGTGCGACCACTTAGCATCTGAGCAAGGTGTTCTGGGCTCGATTGCTGGGTCGGATAACGATTTTGGGTTTTCGCTATTTCGAAAATGTCATACTATTAGTACGTAGTCTGGATCTAGCTCAGTTATGGTAATAGGCTGCTCTGTCACCCCTATTGTATGAGATGAGCTCGTAACATAACTGGTAATAGTTTCTGATTTCGATTCCAAATTCCAACTAGGAAAAATGATTTGATTAGTGTGAATTTTGAAAAATTTCACTAATCCTAAAATTTACGAAAGTATTAAGTACCCATATATTATCTAATGTTGATGATTCTAGTGAATTTCATAACTATTTCCTTCAATAGGTGGTGCCCTATATTTGGATTAACTAAAGACAACGGGAATTATTTAACGTGGAATCTGTTATAGTCAATTAAAATTCAAAACTTATTACAATTTTATCTACTTGCTCAAATAGGAGATAGTAAATAAAAGAATTTAATATAGTCATATATTTTTATTTTAATCAGTACATCATGGCATTTATAGCATTAAGATAACATACAATGTTCATTCAAAAATTATGCTAATTTTCCCGTAGTATTTTAAAAAATCTTTGGATTAAAGTATCCTTTGTCCGTCTCCTGGTTCTACGGTACCTTTTTAATGGGATAAACGAGCAGACCAATCACCTGGGGGAAAGCAATTGGCGTCGCCCTTGGACACCCGAAACAGGAACACCGGAGGTGATACAAGTGAGTTACCGTCATTTTGCGGATTAGAAATTTGAGGATTGTTGGAGATTCAGGAATTTAGGAGGAGAGGGGGCAAATACTCCTCTCACACGACGTGTTTCGTCGTTGAGCGTCGACGCAAGCGTTGTTTCTCATCGGTGTTCTATGAGGTCATGCTGGTCACGGTATGGTATGGTATCACTCCTGTCGTGCCGGCCCATTCGTACCGAAGCATGACTCTCCTCCACTTAAACCTTACCTCCTCACCAATTTTCAGCCAAATCGCTTTAGGGTCGATATTTCCAAGACCTGATTTTATTATAGGAATAACTTTGAATATTTGATTCGTCTTTACTAAAAACTGACATATGTCAATTTTATTCTACAGTTAAGAAAATTTATTTTAATTGAAAATTTGGAGCTTAGCCGTCCTACAGTTTTAAACTTTTAACTAACAGGACTTTCTTTTATATATGACTAGTTTCTGCCGGTGGCTTTGCCCTCGTTCCCGTGAAATAAAAAGTGGCTTATGCGTTATTCCCACAGAACATCTAATTATATTATGTTCTATGGGAATTCCAGACCATAACCTATCCCTGTTCGATCCCTTCAGCCATTTTGACGTGATAGAGTAAGAAACACAGACACTCTCATGCATCCTCTCAAGTAGATAATTACATACTAATCAAACTGATTTGACATTATTTGTTGTGTAAATGTTTGTACAGCTCCATCTATCGTATTATCTAGAAAATTCTTGTTAAAGAAAAGTCCGCTAGATGGCAGGAACTGTCTGCGTGGTAAAAAAATTAAATGGCTTTCTCGATGACGTCATGATATTTGTTTCAACTTATTAGCTGTAGATGGCACTACCTCACCTTTATTAACAAGAAGTGATAATAAATGGTTCCAAAGAGACCACAAATATGTCATGTTTTATTTGAAGTACCTACTCGTGTGGTCGTATAGAGTAAACAGAGTGTAGGTAACTGCATTCAGATAACCAAATTATGCCACTCGGATTTCTTAAAAAGATTAGCTTAACCCATACACTTATGATTACAAAATATAATTTTATTCTGAATTAAAAAATGTACCCCGAATGTTTTGTCCACATAATTAAATCCGTCGTCTCTCATAAACAACGTGAAAGTAATATCATTTGACTCTCATATCTTTTGTTCACTATAAACACTCGTATATCTTATTATTCTCGAGTACCTAGTAACGGAGACTACATGTATCTCGTTTTATTTTCGTTGAGAGAGCGAGACAGGCATACAACTACTATTCATAATGTCAAACGTCATTGCAAACTGAAAGGCAAACAAAAGATCAACGCGGACGAGAGCTTTTACGAACAGTACCCATTTCCACCGCCAGAGGCGCCACAATACCTCAAAAATACAACGAAACATGATAAATAGCTTCACGTTTGAAAAACGAAAACATATTTATTAGACGAAACACATTTAATACTTCCAATAAATCATGGCAGTGGAACAAACGGAAGTTTTGTAGGTTACATTATGCCAGAGCTTTCAATGCCGTCGTCCTGCCCGCCCAGCCCATCGATTTCCAGCGAACAAATTAAGTAGCGGGTAAGCTGGGAGCCTAGCTTCGGGTATTTAGTATGTTGCTTGAATATGGCATAGTTGTGGTAAGAGAAATATGCGATAGTATTAGAAAATGGACGCGGTACACCTGTTCTGGATCGCGCGGTGGACGCGGCGCGCGCCCGAAAGCTATTGCGATCGTTATGCGAGGCAGCGGGCAGCGCGCGTGCGCGCGGCCGGCCACCCGGAGCCCGTCAGTCGGCCGCGAGCATCGGGCCCCGACATACCTTGCCCAAAAATCCGCCGCCTAAAGGTACCCACCACACCCGTACTATTTTAAAACCGTTCGAGACATCGCGCATGCGAATATCGATCCGCCTCACTCGGAATGGTCCCCGTATCTAGGTTAACCGGCTAAAATTAAAGGTGCGTTCCGAATTCAAGGTTGTAACCGCCGGCGCAGCTCCGAAATAGAGCTATCGTGCATGGAAAATGGAAAATATGTACCCAACGCACGTTGTCTTTAAGGGCGATTATCGTGTGCGTCACAGGCCGTAATGGCGGTCGGGAATTATGTAAGAATCGTACGTTGTTGTTTGAAAAAAAAATGAAATTCGTATGTGTAAGTGTAGGCTGAGGTCCTCTGTCGATGCGTCCGTCGATGTTGAATCGATAGAGTTGCGTGTAACCGTGGTATACCGCGAGTGTCGTTGTTGTTAGCGCGGAACCTTTGCTTTCTGTCAATGTAACGTTTTGGGAGTGTCTCAGGATGAGCAGTAAGTACTCGCGTGTAGAGTGAGTGTTCCTACGTGAGAGATAAATATAAATCGAGCGGCACCGCCGACTGCTCAAACATCATGTTTCGCTCGAGAGCATGTTACATCAATTTCTGTGGACGCCACTCGTCTGTGGCAACGCTTGTCCGCAAGCTTTCATTATATAAAACGACTGAAGGATACAATACACGCTGTTATGGCACCATCGAGCCTTTACAAGGCCCTAAATTAACCTGATTTATGGTGGTCATAAAACCCTGGAGTTAACCTAATTTCCACACATTAGCTGTTCTTAGTATCTCGTGTTAGTGTACCAGTTATTGTAGTAGTGACTTGATATACAGATAATCAGCATGCGATACATTGAAAGTATTGATTAGCACCACATTTTCATTTCAGTGTTTCAGGATTTTCATTCATATTTGTGTAGTTTTCATCAATAAATGTCATTCTCATTCATATACAGATACCAAGCTTTCCATTTTACAGTAAATAAATAGTGCATTTACATAAAACTAGTTTTTTTTCCTCACTACTAACCTAGAAATTCCTATCGAGTATTTCCGCTCTCGTCCGATAGATGTCGCTAGACGTCGCTATATCGACTTTTCCGGGGGAATGCAAATAAATATTCTTGGTTTAATCAAGTCGGACATTATTGCTTGAAAGAATGTTTATTAATGAAAACTATTAACGTACCCATACATGTGCCAACATGTTTAATGATTGTATTTCTACTGAAGTAATTACAATCTTGATTAGTTAATATCTTGTTAATGTTGAGACATATTTCAATTAACTACTATTGTGAGTCACTTCTTTAATTTAATGTTAATAATTTTTCTTTTTCTCAAAAATACAACTTCTTCCTTATTATGATATTCATGAATATTTGCACTAGGTAGGAACATTCCATATCATGAATCACATTTCAGTTTTCTTCCATATTCACATTTATTTTAATACACATAAATATAGTCCTTATCCTTACAACCAACTTGCTACTCCTTCTTATACCGATTGCCATCCTTCCTTCCTGGAAAATTTGTTAAAACATCATCAACATCATAATATCTTAGTACTAGGCCAACATTATATAAAATCTACATATATAGGTCTTATTCATAAGGTATGATGAATTTAAAAACAATATCATCTTCATCATTAAATCAGCTATAGGACGTCTCCTGCTGAACATAGGCCTCTCCCAATAACTTCCAGATATGCCGGTTGGAAGCGATAAACAATTTACATACAACTTAAACCTTAATCTGACCCAAACATATTTCATATCACAAATATTTCAACAATTACAGAAATTAGTGTCAATATAAAAAAAAGTGACGATTTCCCATAATATCCCAAAAAACATATACATATATAATCCTCATTATAATTCACTTACATTCATTCTTTCCAATTATTTGAAGCAGTACAACGTGTCGTCTTCAACTCTTACTCTTTACTTATCATTTCAGCATTTTTCTTCTTATTTCACCCCCTTTTATACTGACAATACAATTCAGCCATCTCTTCTCTAGTTATCTGTAAATCCGTAAATCAAATATTATTTATTATACCATTGACACCTTTTACCATAAAAATCAATCAATGTTATGTCGTTCGTATAACATAAATAAATATCTTGTAAATTGTAAGTCATAATGTCGATTGCTAAAATATTAATTACCTCTAAAAATAACACAAGTATTGCCTAATTTTTATCATGCAAAAGGTTACATTTCCATCATTTAGGTATACCCTTGAAATGTACCAACTAATATCCAATCACTTCGTATACATCAACAGCATGTAAGTACCCTTAGGAAAGCCTCTTTTCACATGGACACGGTTTGAGCATACTCACCACGCTTGCTCAATGCGGGTTGGCGATTTCAAACTTATAATTAGAAATTATAAGCCTAGGTTTCCTCACGATGTTTTCCTTCACCGTATTTCATATACATAATCAGAAAGCATGTAAAAATACTGTCCATAAACTATCACACAGTTTTAAACTTACTATTACTTTACTATCACTCTATCAGTATCCCATAACAAGTCTTCAAATAAGTCCTCTTCAAAGATGAAAAATGTCTTACCCGATTCCCATAGGTCTGATATCTGCAGCTCAATCTAAAACACTGACATTCAGACATCTAGGTTTCCTAGAAAGCTATTCCTAGATGACGTAACCACTTCAGAACACTATGAGTCATGTTGACCCCTTTTATGGCCCATTGAAATACATTAAATCGACTATGCGCTACTTACGATTTGATTTGTATTGTTATATGAAAATCTCATTGGTTTAATGGAGAAATTGAATATGAATTATCTGAAGTAATATCTATTTGTATGATTGCACCATTTTTATAACTAACACTACGCACATTTTTCTGATTAGTAAATTCATATCTATGTATTTAGTAGGAGTACTGAACCAAACCGGAGGCCCAACTACCCCCACCTCCTTCCCCAATCTCCCCAATCCCTGATTTCCCAACATTCCTCAAACTTATAATTTCCAAAAGGCCGGTAACGCACTTGTAACACCTCTGGTGTTCCAAATGTCCATGGGCGACGCCGATTGCTTACCATCGGGTGATCCGTCTGCTCGATTAGCCCATAAAAAAAATGTTTGTAATGTAAATTGGCTTACAACTATCTAAAAAAGAAGCGCTTTGATGCATAAGGCCCTATTTAAAAGCGATATCTGTAACAAAAATATCCTAAATTAGACTAGAAAAACAGCATGCGTCTTAACTATACTAAGCTTTCTCTACGACAGAGTGTACAAGTATGTATTGTAATAGTATTCTTTTCTACCCATTTTTCCTTTGATCGTCATCTACCCTCTACTTTTCCTTACAATATTAAACACTCGCTCTGCCACTTGGTTTTCAACCCTTCTCATGACATGTCCATACGAAAACAAATGATAATCATTCAGTTTTTCTGTAACTATTATACTGATGACTGACTATGACTGTGACATCTTTCACATCTCTCACAAGAGAAGCTTCACATCCAAAACCTTAATTTTTGTTTAAGTTATGGTACAATCTCCTTATCTATCACGTGGCCTCTAAGCTTTCGTTTTACAAAAAATCCTTACACCTAAAAAGAGCAGTTATGCAAACCTAGCTCAATAAATTAATTTAGCTTAGCCGCTAGTCTGTTCACAAAACTTTTGTGTGACATGTCTAGGCTTTCCTAAGTTTCTTCCATATACTTAGTTAACTTCACAATTAGCCTTATTACGGTACAAACTTAGTTTTAAACTTGTGAAAGTTAAAAGTAAAGTTAGTTGGTTTATTAAACTATCGTTTTTCTTTTTAAATCAATTATCTCATTCAGTCTTTGTTACGTTCATTTAATAAGGGTTATAGAATTATTTGAGGGTGTATACTTTATTTTAATTTGATAGTACCGGGCGATAGATGGCGCTCTATCTAGTTTTCGGACTATTTGCGTAGTTTTATAAAAAACAGTTTTTTTCTGCATTGAAAGGTTCTTCAGATACGATATATTAAGATATTAAGATAAGTACATATTACTATTATATTTTTGATGATATGACATGTGCTTAATTTTCTTTATTTTAATAATAATGTTAAGAATTAGCTTATTTTACTATTCTCTCAATAATAAAAATGTCTCTATCAAACTCTTAATGACAATAAGGCGTGTTAGTATATTTATGTTGTCACAATAGTTATTACACCGGCCCCAATTATTTTGAATTGACATCAACCTGCCCTTCCTGGTATCACAATCATTTTCTATGTCCTTTTACCAAAACTATGTTATTATTTGAAGGTCGAAAATCGACTGTACTTTCCTAAGTCTATTGTTTGACATTTCTTTAAATAGCAATTCTTGCATTTTAATTGATTTTTTAACTATGCAACCGACTGAGATTATAAAAGGAAAAATTTTATCGTTTGTAAATGTAAGGATAGTATATACAGGCAAGGATTTCCAAAAATAGGTAGGTATGCTAAGTTTGATCGTTAGTCCTGCTACACTCTATGAATACCCAGTCAACCAAACAAATGAATGATTAACCAGTCTATTAATAGTTATATATGCCTAAACACTTAACCAAGAAACGAAATAAACCGACACTCTACAACAATAATATTTTACTCGATCAGGGTCCTTACTCTTGAAAGTCAATACAATTTAAATCCAATAAAAACTCAATAATTATTCAATGTCAAAACTGTACAACCCCTTTCGTAGCTGTTAAAATAGCATTCAGAGTACGGAATATACAGCCGAACTCAATACCATTTACTTGTACCATTTACTTCATTCAATATCCACGCAATACGGATGCAATGGGCGCTAGTGGTGCAACTCAAGAGTATTTCACAATAACAATGTCTGTCGATCGGAATTGGATTCAAGAGTAAGAACCTAAATCAGATTAAACGAGCGAAAAATTACAGCTAATATGAGGATGAAAGTACAGCAAATGACCTAATATGTAGGTGTCTATTTATTCTGCAACTGTAATTATTTATACTCGTTTTACCATAGATATAATAAAGATATTTCTGTGCGTTTTACCAACAACACTGTAACACATAAGCCCCAAATCAATGAATTCACTTTAACGTTGAAATAATTAATTAAATATTA